TTCAGGAAGACCCATTTCAAATATTCAATATAACACAGTGGAAGAACAACTGGAGAAAGAATGTCGAATATTGAGAGAACGTGTTAAGGAATTAACTGATCGCCTAGAAAAAGAAAGTAATGAACATTTGATGTTAGAAATAGCGGAATTAAAACGGCATAATACAGCTTTGGAGGCAGTTTCTCAGGTTAGCATACTCATTATACTTTATTTTTACTGTGAATGTATGATTTTCATCATGTTTTATTCGATACTATTTTACAGGGTAATACAAATGTAATTAGTCAGCTTGAAAAGCTAGAAATGACTAAAGATGTTCTTGAAAAAATGAATCTTAAGTTAGAAAGTGAAAACTTTGAGTTACGACTTGAATTAGAAAGAGCGAATTCGGATTCTCCGGGATTGCGAGAAAAAGTCGAACATTTAGAAAAGTATGTTCATATTGTATATTTTTATATGCTGTGAAAATAGATTGAGATAAATAGTTAATATTATTGTATTGTTATTATTACAGATATATCCAATTGTTAAAAGCAGAAAAATCTTCTGATTCCACTCCTAGATCGTCAGAAAAAGAACTGCCAGAATCAAACAACAAAAAATCTATCTTTGAAATGGAAAAAACAATATTTACATTGAAGCGAATTATCGAGAAACTTCAGGCAGAAAATAAAAGATTAAAATTTAATTCCAAGAAAACTCATCTTCTAGTTAATAAAGTAAATTGTACAATCCCTTCTTTGATATTATATATTATCTTTCTTTTTTTTAATATTATATATGTTATTAAATATAAGGAAAAAAAAATACTATTGAAGGAAATACCTTATTCCAAAGACAATATGAAGAATCTCAGAAGCGTGTGATAAATTTAGAGGCAGATTTACGATTAGCTGAACAAAGAGTAGCTATGTTAGAAAATGCTCATAAAGAAGATGATAATGGAGATTTCCGAATCTTAAAACAACAATTGATTCACAAATCTGAACTTTTAAATAAAGTGAAACAATTGTTGACAAAGGCTGCTATAAATGAGAAGACTCTGCGACAACGTGTAAGAATTTAAATAGTTATTTCATTATTTAAAAGATAAAATAATTTGGAAAATCATTTTAATCTTGTTATTGTTATACCTTTGTTAGGTGCAACAGCTAGAGTCGAAGCAAACCCTATCAGTAATACCAGAATGTTACGTGACTCCACCTACATCGCAATAATGAATATTTTGGAAATAAGCTATTTTAAATAAGATGGATTTACAATGAAAAAAAAAAACACTTTTATTGAGGTATAGGTACACATATTTTTATTTATATTCTTTTAATTAAACATGTTTGTGAAGCCTTGTCTTCATTTCATATAATTATGTTTGTTTTTTATAGTTAGTAATTTTATAATAATTTCATGTTGCACATATGATAATTACATCAATTTTTGTACGTGCAGGTGCACAATTTTCATTACAAATATTGATACAATATGGTGTTCAAGAGATACTATTATCTCTTTTACATGTGTTCTCTTGAAATAATCAACAATAAAATTTTTTTATCGATATCCTTTTATTTATTCTGTATTTCTTATACGTATAACAAAAAGTAAATTATTATAAAATTGTTACAACTATTAAATGTAAATTTAGTTTTGTTGACCACAAAAGGATTTGAATGATTAGATTGATATATATATATTTTTTTTTTCGTTTTTACCTTCAGTCTGTTACTTTATAATATTGTCTAATAAATATAATTCAAAATACAATATAAATAATTTAAACACTTAAAATATTTAATATAAGTGATACAGTAATAATAAGTATAAAATTTTAAAATTCTCTGTCGAACAAATATAAAATGGATTAGCGTAATTTACTTCGATTAAAATATATTAAAATCTTTGATACATTACTAATAATATGTGATATAGCGTGATATAAATGAAATATTTTCAATATTGAAGATATATGTATATAAACGAATTAGTATAAAATTATTCATTACTTTTATCTATTCTAACGTATATATTAAAATATTTGAATGTGTTATTTCAATTTTAAATAACTACTACGTGAAGTAAACGCTACATTAGTAAGCTACTATTTCAGATGAGTCATGATTTCGAGAATCGAAATATTTCTTTAGATTTTGTCATTAGTTGTGAAACGTGTCGCGGTGATCACAGTATCGTACTTCGATCACTCTATGATTTCCATTTGATTGTTATCGTTATATATGCGAAAAGTTATCGTAAATGTTTTCTTCAGAGCATCGAACGATGTCATAACCATTCTGATGTTTATTATCGCGTAATTATCATATTACTGTTGTGATTTCGATATGTACCAGCGATCCGCTTCTGTGCGTACGAAGATCAACGGAAGTTGAAGAGAGAACTTGTAAAGTAAAGCGAGATACTTGACTTTCTCAATTGAAGCTGAAATATTGCCAGGTATATATGTGTCTTTATCTTTATATAATTAATTACGCCTATTGCTCTTTTTCCGATAATCTCGACCATTTCCGATTTACTGAAATATCTCAAACTTTTTTACATTAATCATTATGAGTCGAAGCGGAATTCGGTCATTTTTTTTCAATGGATATGATTTGTTCATATATATGTACGCACACGCACATATGTGCATAAATTAAAATATCTTAATTTATCCCGCGAAACAATAAATATTTAAGGCCCGATTGTGCAATGTTATTTTGGCTTTAAGCGAGAATTGAAACTCTCTTTAAAGCCGAAAAAGAGATAAAGTTTTAAACTTCGTTTAAAGTTAAAGTAAAGGAGCATTTATACTGATATGCCGTAAGAAATTGGCTAATCACAATTGAATATGAAATCACAATTGAAAAATAATCGTTTATGATTGGTTAATTTCACACGGCTTACAGCTTGCGATCCTATTATGGAACAGGCTTTAATGTTCCTTTAGATTGGTGCAACCGTGCGTAAATACTGCCATTCGTTTGCATAGTCTCGAGCACTTTCGATACTTCGATACTTTCGATAATCGAATGTCGCTTCCTTCTTGGTTGATTTCAAATTGCGGTTCGCGACAAGTAGCGCCACTCGCGCCTCGCGGGAAATGTGATGTAAAGATGGCGGAGTTGTGTTCAAATCATCCTGCACGATCCTGTATTTTCCGCGATCGATTACTCAAAAGAGGATCGTTTCCGTCTAAAAGAAATCTCGCGCGCGAAAAGTTATCACGAATGTTTCTCGAAACGAATTAAACATTACCGCACAATCGCTCTACTGTCGCTCTACTTCGATTTCGGCTTCGACGATTCGCTTCTACAATACTCTGAACATCTAGAATAGATCGAGATTCTCGTATGTTTCATGCTGTCATGTTGTTTGTTCGCCGAAATAGTACAACGAAAGCGTAATCATACGTGATTGTTGTCACTCAGGTATGCTATTTTATAATCAACTACATACGTTATATTTCTTGCGTTCTTGTTACAGTTGTACCAAAGATAATGTTCTCGAATCGCAGTTATAAAAGAATTTTTAATTAGGCTTGAATAAGCACGCTGTGCAAAAGGTAAATCTATGCTTCTACGAGTATAAATCATATAATTCCTTATATTATGACACTATGCGATATCAATTCGTACATAATTTTTCGTACTTATTTTTTTATATTTCTGTTTGTTAAATAATAGCGCAATTATCTCATAATTTTAATTAATATAATTTACATTAAATTGTGCCCAACACAACATAGTCCTCCAAATATCTGAAGGATATATATGTATTACAGAATTATTTGAAATGAATTCCGATTATAATTATTCTATTATTATGTTTTATAGAAAAAATGGAATAATTCCGATTGGAATCCATTTCACATAATTCCATAATATGTACCTTGAGGACTTACGTCCTGAAGACATTCTCAAAACTTCTCAGAGAACTATACTGTATAGGATTTGACTAAATTTGAGCCTATAAACGTATATTATTTTAACATTACCGATGATTGCTATATAAGTTTTCTAATTATCACACTCATGATTTCATCATTTAATTTTTCAAACAAAATTATTAAATATAATTATATAAATTGCATAAATTGCAAAACAATTTTTTTAATTTCAACAACTGAATATATTTTTGAGACATTAAATTATGTAGCGATATTTTTTACATACTAAACCTGATGTGTGTTTGAAGCAAAATATATTTATATCTAATATAAATATTTTTATTTATTAATTCGGATTTTGTTGGACGCACATTATTTGGCAAAATACATGCTGGAGTTCGTTAGCTGTAATGTGTTATGTTTCTTTAATTGATATAATTTCATTGCACAGCAGCTGTTAATGTGCACTAATCCAACTGAGATTTATAAATATATATATTAATAAAAATATCTCGCGCGCGGTTTATAGAGCTCAATATATCAATTTTTAGATTAACTTATGTTTCTAAATAATAGTGATAAAATATGCAAAACTATTGTGTATTATGATAACATAATTTTGCAAACTTTATAAAAAATATTTCGAGTAAATGCTTTTATTATAAATAATCAATTTACTTTATAATACTATAACAATTACTTAAAAATGAGAAAAATAAATATGTTACAATAGTAAAAGATTTATAAAATTAAAAGCTTAAAATTTTTTAACAGTATTCAATATATTTTATGATGAATGGATTAAATATTTAAAATTAGTTAATTGATTTATAGAAACATATCGATTTTCCATTATCAATTTTAGTAGTTTGCAATGTTGAAAAATCTAGTTTCAAAAAATATCTTGTTATTTAAAAATCATTAATATTTTCATACTTTCGAATTATATTCGATCACATACAGTAGCGTGCCTTCACAACTTTTGTGATGAAGATTGTAAATCTGCACACATATTATCGGTTATGATATATTTATTCTAGCGTATGCTAAAAATAATATAAGTTAAAATAATTTACATCAAAATTCGCATTCCTACAGTATAATTTGCGTAGCTCAATATTATAATGCGAAGATAAAAATACTGGAGAAAGCTGAGGAGTTCCTATCGATTCCGAGGATTAATAGTCATACTCTGCTACTTGAAGAAAAGGACGAATGGAGTACTCGTCCTCGCAATCTGGAATGAGCTTTCCCTTATACTTCATGCAGAAGTCCGCGCACTTCTGTCCCATGAAATACACGCCGAACATCTTTCTGCATTGCGCGCAGTTTCGTATGCAAACACCTGTACAGAGCCAGTTTGTACAGACTAAAGTGATATACATGATATTTCGGCAACGATTTTTATATGGTGACGTAATGGTAACATTGACATTTACTTACCAATATTTCGTTCGGCATTAGTAGATACCGTAAAGCAGAGAATGGCGAAAACCATGATAAGCAGTACCATTATTCGGTTTGATAAGCTTGGCATGACTGCAATAAATGTAAGCGTTATCTCTTTAACTGTGAAAGGATGAATAATTGAACATTGAATATACATTTAGTTGCAATTATTAATATATTGGCAATAAAAGCGAATACAATTTTCGGTGAATGAGGCGAGTAAGACTTCTGACAGAGAGTCAATCTGTGACATTATTATTTTGTAGAAATTAATATGAAAATATTCAATATTAATATGGAAATAGTAAATCTAATCTGCATGATATGTTCCAATTGTTGTTAATATTAAAAAATTTTTTGATAATAATATGACATGTCTCATAGCTAAAGAGATAAGCTTCTAAGATTTATTTAATTTAGATAAACAAATTTTTACATCCTGTAGGAATATCGTTCTCTTTTAATTTTTCATTAGATTATGTAAAATCGCTTATGTTATATGAATATGAAAACTTGTTTGAATATGAAAACAGATATAAAAATATGTCAGCGTTACATAGAGTCAATTAATAGAAGGGAAAGTAACTGTCTGAATATAAGTAATATCTTACAACGTTTATTCGATGAGATATTAAAACTATATTATGAATAAGCTCTATTCGAGCTGTCTTATCTCAGCTAAATTAATAATTTATGATCTAAAGTCTCTGAGCTAAGATCTGATAATTAATAATCTATGATTGAAAGATCTTTAGTTAATGATTCAAGCCATGTATTACTGCTGCAAATTCCGTATATAGTGTTTGCCGTGTACGGGAGAAATGATAAAACAAATACAATATATATGTATATAGTACATGCTAATCTATTACTTTCTCTCCCTCTCTCTCCCTCTCTCTCTCTCTCTCTCTCTCTCTCT